CGGGGCCCTAAACCCTGAAACTTAAACCTGAAACCCTAAACCCTGAACCCTAAACCCTAAACCCGAAAGGGGTTTCGGGTCCAGCGCTGTGCGGTTGTTTCCAAGAGTTCAGCCCTCGAGGGGCGGTGGGTTCGAGCATCTTGGGCTCGGGATTGCTGCTGCGCATGCCCTAAACCCTAAAACCATAAAAACCTAAACGTTAAAACCCTAAACCTAAAACCCGTAGGCCCTTAACCTTAAACCCTGAAGCCGCAAAGCCCTAAACCCTAAACTCTAACACCCTATCACCCTAAACCTTAAACCCTAACACCCTAGAACCCTAAACCCCAAAAGTCTAGCACCCAAAACCCTAAAAACCTAACACCCTAGACACTAAACCTCTGGCGCCGACGCGTTAAGGGGTCTCCGAAACGAGCATGGAGCCTCAAAAGGCCGCCAACAGTGCAGAGAGAACTGATGTCCGTTTCGGTTTAGGGTTTAGGGTTTTAGGTTTTAGGGTTTTAAATTTTAGGGTTTGTTGCAGTCATACTGTCTTGTGGGTCAAGCTGGGCAGTAAGGGCAGCAGTCGAGTCCCTTGTGAAAAAAGGGTTTAGGGTTCAGGGTTTGGAACCTGGTAGGGCTTCCATGTCCGTTGGGCGCAGTGGGCTGGGTTCTTCTTGGCTGGGTGTTCGCTGCCATACGAATACTATCCATAAGGGTCCGTGTACCCAAATAGTACATTCTTTGGCCCCAAAGTACTTACATAGAGATTACTTTGAGCCCAAAGTCTATACTATTTGGGGTGCATGGACCCTTAAGCTATGTTCCTGTTGATTCGTTCGAGCGTTTATTCCTGCTCGTTTGGTCCGTTGTAGCATTTTCCAGTTTTAGCTGACTGATCGGATTTGATTGTGCAATTCGAGCGCTTTCTGTGCATTCGAGCGTTTCCTTGTTTCTTCGAGCGTTTCCTTGCTTCAGTGATCAAACCGGTGCTTTTGAAGCATCCATGATGTCATGACATGGATGTCATCTTGCAAGCGTGCACACAATAAGATTCTCACCCGCATTGCTCAATCCTAGCAATATATATATATATATATACAGCTAATTATTATAAAATAATGGTTACAAGCGCACCCTTTGGTGCATGGTACGTGCCCCCTATGATATGGAACAGATGGTGGAGGCGGGAGCCAGCATCATAAGCATCATACCATAGTGCCATCCATGCCTTGGCTTGCAGGTCATGGCTTGATGTGCGCATGCAGGCCAGCTTAACAGCTTCGAACAGCTTGGAATGCATGAGCTGCATGCAATGCCAGGCTGCATCTTCGACCTCTGGATGTTGATCGTGGCAGAGGTGAGCCCTCCCATGTCAGTTGCAGAAGCGTCTTCACACGGAGGCATGCAGCAGCTCTAGTTAGGATGTGCATGCATGCTTGCATGTGATCAAGCAGCTCAGCTTGTGCACATGTGCAGAGATTTTCATGCATGCCGTCCCACATGTGCACGGTAGGGCTACTAGTAGGGGGACAGTGTACGTATACGATCATTAGCATGGCGTCCGGGGAAGCCATGGTCATGGTTGATATGGAGGATCGCGGTACAGCTCTTGCAAAGCAGTGGGAGAAAGATGGCGAGATTCGCCGACGTATCGCTGCAGGCAGACTTGTCACGAGACTACATATACAGCTGTCCCATGCATGCATGACTAACAATAGTCGTGATCATCAGCTGTACATGTGCTCTTTAAAGTCAAAGTTACACCCACCGGTGTGGTGGACCGGATAGCCCTCGAGTTGAATGAACGAATCCTTGTACCTGCCATTATGCACGTGGGAGCACGTGTGGGAGTGGACACCTTGGAAGTTCACGTGACTTCCTTCTACGTGGATGTGATGAAACTGCATATTACCAGCATCTTAGTTGAAAACATGCATGAATCCTATATGCTAGACATGCACATATGGTGGCAGGTTGTGCAAGCATCCTATACTAAGGTCGGCAAGCGGGAGCTATTGCCTGGCAGATCAAAAGGCTGATGTCTCTCTTCAACCGTGTCAGCGGACGGCCTCACCGACCAAGGTCTGAAATCATCCGGAGGATGATGGAGAAGATCGGCATACCCATTCCTGACGGATCTGTGGCAGGGGATGATGATTCAGAATATGGTGAGGGAGAGGGTGAAGAGGAAGAGTATGTGGAAGAAGATGAGCTAGTGAATCCTGCTGAGGGAGAAGGAATGGAAGAGCAAACGAATGGAGATGCTAGCGAGCCTTTGCTGATTGATGAAAGCAAAAATGATTCGGCAGTGCCCCTGATGGAGGTGGCTGAGCGTCCTGCCAAGAGTCGCAGGATTAATGAGCGCAATGATAAAAAGCATCAGGGTATGCAGCCTGCAGATGAGCAACAGCAGCAGCAGCAGCCAGTGCAGGCAGCTACAGCAGAGGACATCCCACGGCCAACAAGCAAGCAAATGCAGGAGCTTGCAATGGAGCACAAGCCAAGCAGTGAGCTCGAGCCACAAAACAAAAATGAGCCAAGCCAAAAGGCAAGCACTGAGGCTAAGCAGGAGCCAGTAGACAGCCCAAAGACAAGCGCAGAGGCTAATCCGGAGCCAGTAGACAACCGAAAGACAAGCGCAGAGGCTAATCCGAAGCCAGTAGACAACCGAAAGACAAGCACAGAGGCCAATCAGCAGCCTGTAGACAGCGGAAAGACAAGCACAGAGGCTAATCCGGAGCCAGTAGACAGCGGAAAGACAAGCACAGAGGCCACGCAGGAGTCCCCGAAGTTAGAGCTGAAGGGAGATCGCAAGAAGCTGCCCATCCCCATGAACAAGAGGGCCCAGCAAGAGCCTGAAGGCGTGTGTGTGATGTTGCACTGCAGTATTATAACTGCTCGACCGATCATTCCATTAATGGCTTTTAATGTGCAGGTCTGGGGGCTTCTCCTGCATCAAGTGAAGGATTACTTCCCGTGAACAAAGGCACTTATCTGCAGTATCATCATGCATTATAGCTATATTAGTACGTACTATAGATCCCTGCCCTTGCTCAGGTGTCACTGAGCACAAAAGGCCCAGAATCCATGTGGTGTCTGCCTTCGGTGACAAGCAGTTCAAATGCCAGGCCTGTGGCAGCATTGGCAGCATCGAGGCCTTAGGTGAAAGCGAGTGCAACCCAGAACTTGCAAAGAAGCTTCGTGAACTGGTTACATGCCTGCATTTGGTTTTTAACTTAAGTATGTTTGCAAGCATACAGTCACCATGCATATATATATATATATATACATATGTGAGTTATGCATCGATAGCCCAGGAACGGTTGAAGAAGCTTCGCGAGGAGCTTGCCGAAAGGAAGAGGGAAAGGCTTTATGAACGGCAACCGATCCCAGAGGCTATTCCTGACCCTCAGAAGTCCAGTGGTGTCACGGTTGCAATCAATTGTCGATCATGCTTAAGATTCATTCTGTCAATGCACCTATAGCCTTTAATATTTTGTGTGCATGACTCGATCTAGAGGTGCCATGCCTGACAACATGGAGACGCAAGCTTGGCCCCATGATGCACAACCCTCCTTCGAGAATGGTGGTGTGGCAAGGCAACTTAGCTTCGAAGGGTGTTGCCTCTGACGTTGCAAGCCCAGCTGCAGACCGAAAGGATGAAGCTGCTCCCTGTGACTTGAAGGATACCGCTAAGGGTGCTGAGCCTGTCTCGGGCCGTGGCACAGGGCACCCGAAGCGTCCGAAGAGACGTTTCGCAGCGCGGGCCTGCTTTGTGGATCCCAAAGCTGCCAGCAAGCCGCCCGAGCCCTCCATCCCCAAGCCCCCTGAGCCAGCTCAAGAACCTCCTAAGCCTTTGCCTGAGAAGCCAGACTGCATGAAGAATGTGCAGCCTACCTTGCCGACTAATGAGCAAAAGCCACCCAAGCCAAAGGGAAAGGCCAAGAAGAGCAAGGACAAGGATGAGGAAGAGGATGAAGAGGAGGAGGAATATGATGTGGAGGATGAACAGGACGAGGTAGAAGATATTGATGGAGATGAGCTTGAGGAGGAGCCAGAGGAGGAAGAGGCAGAAGATGATGAACCTGTGTTGAGGCGCCCCGCAGCCAAGCAAATCCAACAGCAGAAGCAGCAGGACAGGCCCAAAGCAAAGGCAAAGGCTAAGGCAAAAGGTGTTGCTAAAAGCAAAGCGAAAGCAAAGGGATATCCAAAGGCGAAGGCAAAAGCAAAGGCCAAATCCAAGGCTGGCTCAAAGGATGATGAGGATAAGGCTTTGAAAAGTCGCAAGAGCGTGGCATACCACCGAGCAAAGAAGGAGGCGATCTCTTCAGGCATGACGCCAGAGGAAGCCTCTGAGGTCGCCAAGGTTGTTACTCTGCATGCATTATATTGCTAGAGCCACTATAGAGCTGGTTTGCAGAATCATCCCTATATTTTGCTTGTGCAATCTCAGGCTTATCGTGAAGCGCGGTAGATCGTCCTATGCCCGCTGACAGCACTGTGCTGAGAAATTTTGGATGAACGGGGGCTGGGGCCCGCATACAGTATGGAATGTGGCAATTAGATGGTTTGCCATAAACCTAGCAGCAGAAAGCTTGCTGGGAGTACTGTGTGCTCATGCTTTATACCGTCACCCTTAGGATCTTGGGTGGCGGTGGGGGCGTTCAGCGATTTAAAGTCGATCGATGAGAGCTTGCTGTCTCGTGAGCAAACAGCTTGAGATTGTATGTGATGCATGCACCATACTGCCAGTTGCTGCAGCCATGCAATTGTACATGTTATCCTAGGCTAGCTGATTAAGCTTGCCTCGTGGCGCAGGTCTGGGCACATGCCGAAGTCGGAGCGGTGGGCCTGCAGAGCTTTTTCAAGAGATGCTGGCATGTCATTAATGGACATGCATGGTCGATATCGGTGCTTTCTGTGATTGCCTGCATGAATGTGTGCACGCAACACATGCATGTGCTTTGTAGCTGGAGGCTCTATAGCTGCATGTATGCATCGTGCTCTGAGCACTGAACATGCCTAGCCAAAGATGGGAATCAGTGATTGCAAACTTGGTGCAGCTCCAGGCCCCAAAGGTGCTGTGGGTTGATCGATAGTGCATGCAGGCATGTTGTCTTGTACATGCATTAATCTAATCATCCCGGGGAGGTGCTTATCGGGTGTGCCTCGCAGCTGCAAGACTCGTGTGATCGTATACACAGCATGATGTGCATGTATGCCCCATCAAGTGCTAGATGCATGCTTTTGCTATCTGAGGTCCTGCTACTTATGTGGACGACCAATATCGATTTGAGGATGCGGGTCGAGCTGTTGGAACTGTTTGCCGGTGAAGCAAAGGTGAGCCAAGCCTTCCGTGAGGCAGGCATACCCTATGTGTCGTACGACTGCATCTACGATCCTACGGGCCGTTCCATGAACTGTCTTTCTTCGGGAGGATTTGCGTTCAGGGCTCAGCTTGTAGCATGCATGCATACCAGCTGTTTATAATATAGCTGTCTGAGTGCAGTCTCCAAGGCTGGCGATGGCATGTGTGCTACGGGAGCTTCCTAATTCAATGAATGTTCTGGCCCCACCCTGTGCAAGCTGGTCCTTAGTGAGCCGGGGGACATCCAACAGGTCACCGATCAACCCCGATGGCCGTGCTTCTACCGAGTTTGTCAATGATGGCAACATGATGATGATCTAGCAGGCTGGTGCTGCTGCTGGTATTAATCTTGGCAGTGCATGGGGTGTTTCTCCTGGAGCAGCCCGTTGGGAGTGAGCAAGTCCTGCCCTACAATCGTCGATTTTCATGGTTTGCAAACAAGGTCTGCTATGTGCCTTGTCAGGATTACAACCGCCCTGAAAGTAGAGGGGCGCACTCACAGGTCCTGGCCTGTCGAGCGCACTTGTGCCCTGGAGGGCCCATTTGGATGGGCCACAACGCCTTCGATGGTCCAGGGCTATGGGGTCGGGTCAAGAATATTAATTAATTAATCCTAGCTAGTCTAGAGAGTATGGGTGGGGTCTTCAGTACGATGGGGCCGATGCTAGCCTATACAAGGGCCTTGGTGGTGGATGTCGGGGGGGCTCAGGATCTGGAGGTGCAGGCTAATTATAGGATTCAGGGGAATCCGGATTTATAAAATTAAATCGCCTCAACCCAAAACCCTGAGCCCCTAAACCCCTAAAGCCCTTTAAACCCTAAGCCCCTAAACCCTATAAACCCTAAACCCCTAACCCCTACTCCCCTATCACCGTAAAACCCTAGACTCTAAACCTCATGTGTATCACAGCCCACATGGTCCTGCATGCACATGCATGCATGCTGTGTATATATATATACATATAGATAGATATACACATATATATATATATATATATAATGCATGCCGACACTCGCATTGTGTGCTAGTGCTGGATCCATGCATGCACTTGCAAACTGCCAATAACATGCATGCCTCGACACCGGTGCATATATATATATATATATACTTTGCAAATTTACAACATATATGGTCCTAGGACCCTCAACAGCTTCGAAAACCCTGAGTCCCATTGTAGCAACCCTAGGCTTATACGACAGGCCCAAGAAGCTCACAACAGCCTCCAGAACCGCACACACCTTCGAAGCAAAGTTTAACTTAAGGTTGGGGTTTAGGCCTGCGGTTGCCAGCTTATATGAACCCCAAACCCCTAGGCCCTAAACCGGCCCTTTAATCCTAAAGCCCCAAAACCCCTAACCCTCTAAGCCCTCCAAAGAAACCCAGGGGATGGGGTTGTCCATGTGCTGCTATAGCTAGTGCATGAATACTTATGGTATAGGCCAATATGACTTTCCTCATGCAAGCTGCACCCAAACCTCAGCCCAGGTTTACAAAGCCCACTTCTGGCAGCAATGCTTTGGTTCCCCGACTCCGAAACCAACCTGCATCTGGTCCAACTCGACCATCATCGTCCAGGGCCTCCAGGCTTGGGGCTGGTGGACTGGGTCTGCAACATGTATGATATCATAATTAACGATCGATGTATACTGCAGGAGGAAGCTGGCCAGATGAGTCGTTCTGATCAGCAGGCTATGACAGCCTTTAAGACTGTACGCTCGGACCTTACCTAAACCACATTGGCTATATTATATATATATATATATATTATATATATATATATATATTGCACAATTGTGTTCCGGGATCAAGATCCAGTTGAGCCATTAATTTGTCCTTGAAACGATTAGCCTCAAACCTATATCTAGCTGAAACTTAGGTCGCTACAAAGGGCCTGATGGTGTCAAGAAGTTTGTGGGCTCCAAGAAGGAGCTGCGAAAGAGCGGGCCAGGTCCTTATATCTCGAAACCATTTCAGCAATGCCTACTGCCAGCACAGTACCTGCGAGTCCGCTATAGTCTATGCATGACCAGCAGGGATATCCCATCAGTTATATATATATATAATGCAACTATAAAATAATTCCTCGATCCCTGTTCTTTCCGGGGCCTAGGGCCTACACCAAGAACTTTGGCAAGAAGCTCTTGAGCCTCTGGGAAGAGGAGAAGGTAGCTTCGACGCCTCGGTTGTGCTTGAGGCAGAAGCTGCACATCTCTGAGCAAGCCACAGACAAGGAGCTCTTCCGTGGTTTGGAGTTAGGGGACACGTGGGCCGAAGCAGAGATGGTTCAGGTGTGGTCGTACTTGTACAATAACAAACGTCTGCATATCCCTGACTGTTGGCTATGCACAATGGATGCATTCAATGATGAGCTGAGAGCGACGGTGTCTTGCATCAATGAGTCTGAGAATGTCTGAGATCTACTACACATGTAGGTTCAGTCAGTTCAATGAGTGGCTCCTTCTTATCCCAAGGTTCTTGCTGAAGATCCCCTTCGAGATGATTTGCTGGCTGCTCACAACTGACTAGGTGTAGCAGTGCTTTTCTGGTAAGCAAGAAGCAATTGTCCGCAGCATAATTCTAGATTATAGCACCAAAACACGCAAAAGCTGTTTATCCTCATGAATCAAAAAAATGCGGGCAGTTCTTAGCGCAAAGCGGGCGCAAAAGCCCGCCAAACGGGCGCAAAACAAAACAACGGGCGCAAACAGCAAAAACTGTACAATTGCCCGTTTCAATTTAGCACAAATCTGGCAAATCATGACATTGTTGCACAAATCCGACCGAATGCGTGCATGATGTCACAAGTGGTCCGATACTCTCTAGGCACAAGCTTTACAGCAGGATGCCAGTGCAAAGGAGTGTGACCTGTCAGTCCCTTGACCTTGGCTTAGCAATGGTGGCTGCTCAGCACCAAACGAATACTGATGATGATCTGGATGCAAGGATTGCTGACTCTCAGATGCCTACAGCATATCCCAGCTCATGTTGCTCTTGGCTGCTTGGTGGTCGGAGTAACACGCAACTGAGGAAGAGACTGCACAAATCATGCGGCTCCAGCAAGAGATGGCCGCCTTCGATGGTACCGAACCCCAGCAAGGACTCTGTTGCGGTCAAACTGCAATTGTGCACACATGACACGTCTTAACTTATGCCATGTGTACATGCAAGCATGCATGATCTATGTTATATATATATATATATTATATATAGTACGTGTCTCTGTGTGAGGGTGTGCATGTGTGCAAGCATACACGTGTGTGTGTGTGTGTGCGTGTGCGCTTTTCCTGCCCACACTCATGATTGTTATAATTATATATATATATACATAAATATATATATATATATATATTATATATATAATATATATATATGTATCATATATATATATATATATATATATATATATATATCATATATATATATATATATATCATATGTATATATATATATAT